ATCTCCAGAAGTATTTGTATGACTTCATTTCTTCCACTGGCTCATAAAAGAAATATGACACCATGATCATCTTTTTTGGGAAACTGAAGAAAAACAGATACCAAATGACTTACTACAGCTACATAAGAAAATCATGGCACTGTCTGCAATAAGAACTGAATTTAACTAATTCCAAATTAATGTCTTTATTTCCTATATCAATTACCCAAATTAAACAAGGAAAGAAGAGATCTCAAACCTTATGTCCTATAACTTTGATTTACACATGGACAGGGAGGCCGAAAGCACCACAGGTGGAGACAGTGCATTTACAGAAAATAATTAGGATATTTTAAAGTGAAGTAGACTATTGTTATAAATTCAAACCTAGTTTACACAGAAGACAAAAATAAGAAGAATGGGAAATTTAGAAAAATCTTATCTGTAAAGAAAACATTCTTCCATGTAAGAAGTAAATTCAAGAATGAAAACAAAGGAACTTCAATTACAACTAAAATTCACTCTCAGCCTCCTTTCTTCAGTTTAAGATAACATAGTTTACATTCTAATGTATTTTATTGTTTGCTGCCACTATCACCACTGATATCAGACGGAGCAATTCAGAGCTTGCAAAACTAATTTTTCTTACTGTTTCCACTGAAATAAACTGCATTTTATATGGATGTTCAGAAACATTTCAGTGCCACAGTTAACAGGATTTTAATCGCCACCTAGAAAAGTACTTAAAGAATTTTGAGCGGTTCACAGTAACTTTACAGAAGGATTACTTTCATATTGCTCATCTGGGAACTGCTTAATCAGGATGCACACTGCTAACTTAATGCAATACTTCAGCATCTAGATTATCCTAGTGTAAGGGCTCATGTGAAACAAACATTTCTCACAGAAATGTGACTTTTTCAAGTAACCCCTGCTGGTGACCATTGATGAGATCTGGAGGTTGCCCTCTGAAGCAGAAAGGGGAAATTGGCTTAACCTGTAGGAAATAAATGGATCACTTGGCAGAAACAAAGAAAATCACTACCATGTGAAAAAAATGCCAAGAAGAGTTAAACTTTCACGATGTGTTGAAAAAATAAGTTTTCTAAACTGAGAGTAATTATTTCCTTTGAAAACAAAAAGCCACAGCACTTAAAGTAGAAAGGATTGTTATTCTGTGTTCACACGTGCATAACTTACTATTCAAGTCTATCCAAAGACGCCCATCTACAAGAAGGGCCAGAGGGCAGACCCGGGGAACTACAGGCCTGTCAGTTTGACCTCAGTACCAGGGAAGCTCATGGAGCAGATCCTCTTGAGAGTCATCTTGCGGCACTTGCAGGGCAAGCAGGAGATCAGGCCCAGTCAGCATGGGTTTATGGAAGGCAGGTCCTGCTTGACGAACCTGATCTCCTTCTATGACAAAGTGACGCACTGGGTGGACGAGGGAAAGGCTGTGGATGTGGTCTACCTTGACTTCAGCAAGGCATTTGACACAGTACTTCTCACCAATTCAGAGGCCCAGCAACTACAGATCATACCAGGCAGAGAACCAAATCCTGATCCTGTCACCCTTGCTCTCTTCCTGACAGAATAAGAACTTGTGAGTATTGCTTTGCTCCGATGTGTAATAAACTCTGAATGGTAACTTCCCCGTTTTAATTGTTCTTCAGAAAGATGCTATAATCACAGGAACTCACAGCTTGTGAAGGGGAGTGACAAATCAAAGTCCCTTAAATTTATCACTATAGTCCCTTCTCCTGTGCTGCTTAAACATGGGAAAACAAAGTTATTCATTGTGAGCAGGTCTGGAAGAATACATCTGATACTTTGACCCTACCTGATGCTGAATCAAATAAAAAAGTTAGAAAAACTTCCTTGAAGTAAATACTACTACCACAGATATAAAGCAAGTCTTAGCTCAATTTAGGAACACAAAGCTTCAGAAATTACAAGAGCCTAATTCTGAAATTGCGATCAAAGAAATTTATTTTGATAGTTTACATTTGGAGAACTTGAATTAGAGATGAAAAAAAGTGTATCTGCATTTTATTAAGGGACAGGCACAAAACAAGTATTTGCACATGGCTGCAGCATGAAGTGATACATGTGGGAAACATGGATAACAGCCACTAGGTCTGTAAATAAAGAGAAAAGCTAAGCGGTAATATTTAAACATATATAAGAAAGGATTTTCCAGTACATCTGTGAAGGACAGGACATGACCAGAGCTCAGCGTGTTACTGCTGACATGCAGCCACACTCATGGTCCCATGGTAGTTCTGCTGTAGCAAAAATAGGCAGGTAGTTTTATTCACTTCACAACAGGCTGGAACATTTTAAGCCCCTGTCTTTGGCAATGCTGCACATGTTCCAGTCCTAAGATCATGCACACTATTATTTGGCATAATTGCTAATATTTATTTTTTTTTCCCTATTTGTGAAAATTGTTCACAACTCTGTTAATTTACAGGCTTTCAGTAGCTGTTAACATCAGAACACCCAAAGCTATTTGCTGCTTTGCTTTTCAGTCAGTATACTATTTCATTGCCTGCTTGTAAGTTTATTAATCTGCAAAAGAAAAGCAAGAGGAGAAGTCCATGATAAGAAATCCATGCAAGTAGAGGTTTAAGCAGAGAACCGTATGTGAACATAGGAGGACTTGTATTTTACTATTCCCGTGGTGTTATTATATGGTTATTGCACCCGTCCCTGCCTCAGTCTGTTCAACTAACACTGACCAGGTGCTTGCTCCAACTCTGCATATTCAACGTACATCTTGAGCTATATTCTGAATTCCACCAAGCTCAAAGACCTGCTCTGATCTAACATTGGACCCAAGTGGCACACAGCCTTGCTCCTCATTGGTGACAGACCTACTATCAACAGCAACCACTTCTTTCCCTGAGGGCTGCAACAGGGGTTGCAGTCTGACTTGCACAGTCTGATCTAATTCTGGAGTCCTTTCCTTACCAACTGTGCTAAACAGTCACTGCATATCCTAGAGATAAACAGAACTGCAATTTCTAAACTACCTTTCCCCTACAGTTTGCAAGGTAAAAGCAGTTTCCAAAATGCTTAATACTTACTAAAAGACACTATGTGAAAACATAATAAATAAAATTTAAAGAATCATTGCCCACCTGCTACTCTTTTGATACAGGCCTACATTTATTATACAATAAGCATCAGCAACATCTGATTAACAACATCTTCACCCAAGGACATAGCAAAAAACAAGTTAGTTTTCTTTTGCTTGCCCCACTAAATAGGGCAGATGTCAATTCCTTCAATAAGTACAACCTGTACACCCAGATTTCATCTAAACATATAAAGTTATGGATGTGCATGCATAGTTTAGGCATTTAATGTATACCTTGCACAGGTTCATGCATGCAAGAATTTAAATTTCGATGTTGAATTCCTTAGTAAACTAATTTTGGCTCTCTGCCTTCTGCAGATTTGGCAGAAGTGAAGCCTGTATCACTACTCTACAATTCTTATGGAACTTCAGAAAAACATTCTTCTAGCACAAAAGCCCTCCTGCCTGCTCCAAAACACCTTGTGTAAATGAACCCAAACCTGCTTAATATTCTGTATATATGAAAAAGCAATAGCACATTTCTGAAACAGCGCCCTCCCCCTCCCTTTTTTAATCTTTGAATTTAATTACCCAAAAGGGATTTTTTCTTTTGTCTCATAAATGACTATAAACAGAAAAACTTGATCGCCTGTGAACATATTCTTACTTAGCTGGTGTCTTCTTCTCAAAAGTATATTACTTGGCACAAAAATCCTCTTTACATGTCATAACTGGTTTAGCTTGCAATTATTTAAAACAAGACCCTTCTATAAGCCTATTTCCTAAACCATTCAAGTAGATCATTTTACAGAAATTAACTCCAAATTGAAAAATCAAAAAAGGCCAGATTTTCATGACTACCTTCCTATATTCAGGTACCTGATTGCATCAGACACACTGTTATAAGAACAGCTTGTCTTTCATCACTGCTTCCCTCAGTCACAAACCTGGCTGATGAACTACCATGATTTGGTATCTCAGACTCCTCTTGCATTCAAGATCAGCTTTTGATCATAGGCTTTTGGCACTGCAACTGAACTGTGTCCTAGTTCTCTTTCCCTTTTATTTTGAAAGAGGTTATTAGGTCTGTCTCTTAAGACCATGAGATAAATAATAGCTGTTGAGTTTATTGTATTTGAAGGTCATATTTCACTCCACTTTCAGCAATGTCTATTCACAACTTGACCAACATCAGTTGTGTAGAAACTGTAAATTCTTTATGGGAAAATAATGGAATCACTAGACAGAGGAACACCAATGTGAAATACATTGCCATTAAGTCCTTTCCCCACTTTCAAAATTCACAGTCTGCTGTGAGAGGTTTGTTAGAATGATGTATGTATTTAATTTAATCCAAATGGGAAATACAATACGTTCCAAAATTTTAAGCATGGCATAGCCATTATTGCCACATATTAGTTGTGATTCACAATATGACCCCACACTTTCCCAATAATACAGGAATTTCTATTTCTCTGCAGTTTATTACTTTTTCTCTTCCATCTTAATTCACACATAGCCACGTATATCTTCACTATACAACAGGAAGAACAGGACACCTTGTTCTCTGTCCTCTTGCCAGCCCTCTATAATGAATGCTTTCAGACAGGCCAGAATTAGAGATCAATGCAGGAAATAAAGTTCTATTACTGCTGTAAAACTTTACCCCTCAAGTCCCTGAGTTGCTGGATAGGACATGTAACAAGAAATTTATGAGTAACATTGATGTACTTTTATAATTAAGCTTGGCAAAGACAATCCATAAAGCTCCCAAGTATGCCATAACTATATAAATATCCTAATGATTCTCTTCTGCAGATAACCATCCCAACTATCTCAGAGGTAAGTACCTAAATATAAGTAAAATTGTAAACACGAGTTCAACAACTTTTTCAGAACTGCTTAGTTCTAACTGCTAGTAACCCTCATTAGTAATGAATTGCATTTAATATCTGATCTTTATTAGCCAGGGTTCAATTTCAAGATATTTTTTGTTACATTTTGCTCCACAGAGCGAAGTCACTATAGACATAGTTGTACAATCACTTTGCACTATTCATTTTCAGGAGTTAAATTCAGAGCTCTAGGAATCTCACTGCAGGACACTGGCATTTTTCATTACTTGTTACCCCAGCAGTGAGCAAATGTTCATTATCCAATATAATTCCACTGATATATAATTTCTATTCACTTCCTCTACTCTAGAGAGCAGCTCACTCTATTTTAAGTATCAGTCCCAGTCTTCACCTCTAGATAAAAGACATGCCATTTGGTGAAATTAACGTATCTGATACATACTAATCAATTTAAGAAAATATTCTTACAAAATTGCACTGCTAAGGGCAATATATCCATTTCTTGGCACATGGCCAGTTATTGCTATGCAGGTCAAGCACAGAATACATTAAGAAAGTTAAAGCAAATGCAATTCTGGTACTATCCGATACCCTTATTCTAACTCTGCAATTCACACAGCTATTGACAAAAATAAAAAGGAACCACTTCAATCTAACCAGAGAATAAACTAAATAATCATAGTTTATTCCCAATTTAGTCCTCAAAAGCCTCTTATATCATTTAAGATTCAGATCTGGTCCAGCAGATGAAATTGGATTGCAAGACATACTTGAAGATGAAAATTGCTATATTGTGCAAGTTGTACTACAGAAATCCAATGGAGTACTTAAAGAAGCCAGTTCTATAGTAGAAAAATATATTTTAAAGGATTAGTCTTATCTCCTGCCAATCCAGGATTGCTGGACTGATGCTGGTGTTATAAATGACTGAGTCCCAAATAGGGTTACAATCAAAGTTTACAATTGATTAAAGGAATAGAGGTAAGCAAACAGCTCTGGGTGCGCCAGGAGTCTCTGCTCCACCAAGACGCACACCAGTTACATCAGGTGGCTGGTTTTTATGCTCCTAGGCTAATACATATTCATCACCACTTTTGGAAAAGGCAAGGTTATTATAATTAGTTTCCTGGGACCTGAACCATCCCGCGGATGCATGCGTATCAGTCTCCGGTGGTCCCTCCGGGGGTCGCTTGTACTGAAGGCTCGTAGTCTTCCTCCCAGGCTTTGTCCTCCGGTCATTCTTCAGCTTCCCCCCCGCTCCTTATTTAGTAGTCTCTGGGCCAGATGTCAGAAAGCTTGTCTCATGCAATCAATAGTCAGCAGTTATCTCAAAAATCTCCCCCCTATTCTCTTATCTCCCAGACCCGAGTCTCAAGGTTTACCCTTCAAACCCCCTATCGACACAAACTACTAGACTATTCTTTTGCAAGATACAAGAACTATATACACTAACCACTCTGTTTCTCTTGGACTTGTGGTTATTTATACAAGGGAATGTAAGACAGAAGGTCACGTTTCATTATGAGGCTCTAGCATTGTTCCATATTGACACGAATCAGATGAACATATTTCACACTGGTGACCATTTTGTCACATGTCACTGTGAACACACGCAATGGGGCACTTCTCATTATTTCTGAGAAATGCTCACAGTGGCTTGGGAAGGCTCTTTATTGGGGCTATAATGGCCCTACCTCTAGGCATAGGACATCAGTTGAGAGGCCGACTCCCATTAACGATACAACACTGCTTCCAACATGCTGGCTAGCTTGGTTCTGTTCTAGCTCTGCCATTCCTGTATAGTGTTGAGCTGTTGTGCATGAATATTTCTAAAAATACTGTAACAACTTTATTCAAGGTCCCCAGTGTCTTCTTTTGGATCTTATCAAGGTTGCCCACATTACAACAGAATAAAGACAGGTAACTTAAACTTTCTGTTGTTTGTTTTTTTTTTTGTTTGGTAGTTTTGTTTGTTTGTTTGTTTTTTTTGGGGGGGGGACTGGAATATATGCTCCATTAGAAAGATGATGTAATTATCACACTGCTTTCCACATACTTCTATTTTATTTTCTCTTGTCTCCGTAACTGCACATTTACATTAATATATCAGGCCCTTAATCATTGTGGCCCTCCTCTGGATGCACTATAGAAGATCCCTATGAAATGAGGATAAAGTACTGCACTTAGTCACCCACCTACATCATGCTTTAGTGAAATCTAGGGACTAACAGTTGGATACCTTTAAAGATACAGCTTTGCACTTCTAGTCTCCTACACAGAAACTAAGATACAGCAACAACAAAGATGCTTCTGTGAGTGACTTAGCAGCCACTAGTACCTCTCACCCTTAAACTGAAATTAAATAGCAAGATAAATTGGGGATTTAAGTTCAATCTGTGCCTTGAAACCATTTTAATTAAATAAATAACACTATATTTCCTCTACACACAGCAGGAAAATAAGTGATTCTCACCTAGATCCAAAACCATCATTAAAATTCTTCTCAAGGAGGTCAATGCCTGATCAATATTCCCCACCAGCTTTTTCTTGGCTGGTACATTAGCCTTGGTAGCATATTCGTCTTCAAGCAAAGGATTCCTGAGTTGGCCATTCATAATTTAAAATTGTCATTCTCACACTGATCATTCCAGGGTACATACAAATACACAAGGTATATTGCACAAACTGGGATTAGTGAAGACTATTTTTTTTTTCCTCCTAGGAAAGTGGCTTCACAGAATGCAGATGTCATCACTCTGTAGGTAAATACAAGTCAAAGAATAAATCACACAAGTAATGCTAGTCTAGCTTTGGTCACAAACATGTAAGAGGAAAACATTTATTTACACGTGCAAAAGCGCAAAAAACACCATTCAAACCGCTTTGGAAGCACACAAATGGATCAATAAGTTGTACCAAACCTAGAATATTTTAATATTAGAATATTTCTGAATACTGAGCTATGTTCTAAAACAAACAAACAAAAAAACTAACCACCACCACCAACAAAAAAAAGCAACACTAAAAAACAGTACTGGTGGAAACAAATCAAGTTCTAACAACATATTTGTCTTTGGCTCTACTAATGATCCACTATTTACAGAAGGGATGGTAAGGTCCATTAGCAAACTATCAGAAGTACAGAGATTGGATCCTGCTGTATTAACAACCTGGATGGTGGACCTTGAACTCTGTTTATGTATGCCCTTGTTACCCAGAAACTTCAGATACGCATTTTTGTTGAGCCCAAAAGATAATGTACAGAACAAAAAATAATAAAATTAGAGAAAGCAAAAGTCAAGGTATCTAAGGAAACAGCAGAATGAATAGGGTTTGTGTCAGGATGCAATTCAAATAGTTATTCTTCTCTTCCAGTGCTTTTAAGAGTCATTCTGAGTAGCCCTACCAACAACACCCTATGAGTTGGTTGTCTCTATGAGTTGTGAACAGATTTAAACCTCTCCTTAGAGACATAAGGAACCACCCACTGAGGGACTATTGGTGACTTTGAAGAACATGCTATTCCAAGATAGATCTTTACTTTCTGGAACTCCCTAACATAACTTTCCAGAGTTCTGGCATGCTGCTGCAAAGCCACTTCTACACAGAACAACACAGAAGGCAAAGAAGGGCTCCAAACTCAGGGTCCTGTGTGAAAAGTAACCAAACATGTTTGTGCAAATTTACACCAAACTTCCTGTTCTTTGCCAGACTTTGAGCTGGGGGGGGGGGGGGGGGGACTTTGTACCTTTCGTTTGAATCAACTGCATGGATAAACACTAGATCTCATCTATAGATGTTTCTTTTGAAGTACTGCTTTAGTTTTGCATGCTTTATAATTCCTGTTAATTATATGCTTATATAGCTCTACTTCTGTTATATTAAAAGTATAACTACCACAGAGCATGCATGCACAAAATTAGAGGTGAGAAAAATTAGAACTGGAAAAAAATATATCAGAGAAACTTCATCCTACAATATATTTGGCTTGCTACTCATAAAAATAGTAGCCTGCACAGACAGCTTTCCATTCATCCACAAGAGCTGGAGGTTTCCTGTCTGCATGTTTGCATATATAAACAAATAAAATCAGAGATAGGACCCGTCACACATTCAGACTTTTTAATAGGGTCTTATTGAATAAAGAAATGCAAGAAGGTTGAGGGAAGTGATTGTGCTGCTCTACTCAGCTCACCTCGAGCACTGCATATGGTTTTGGGTACCACAATGCAAGAAGGACATACGACTATTAGAACTATTTCCAGAGAAGGGCTATAAAGCTGGTGAAGGGCCTGGAGGGGAAGACATGAGTAGCAGCTGAGACTCCTTGTTTTTTTCAGCCCAGAGCAGAGCAGGCTGAGGGGAGGCCTCATGGCGGCCTGTAGCTCCCTCACAAGGGGAGCGGAGGGGCAGGCGCTGAGCTCTGCTCTCTGGGGACAGTAACGGGACCTGAGGGCACAGCATGCTGGGGGTTAGGGAAAGGTTCAGCACCCAGAGGGTGGTTGTGCACTGGGACAGGATCCGCAGGACAGTAGTCATGGCGTTGAGCCTGCTGTAGCTCCAGAAGCATTTGGACAATGCTCTCAGACATAGGATATATTTTTGGGTGGTCCTATGTGGAGCCAGGAGTTGGACTTGATGGCCCTTGTGGGTCCCTTCCAACTCAGAATCACAGAATATCCTAAGTGCAACTGCAAGTTCATACTTTGTAGAAATTTCACTTTTTCCACTGATATCTACAGAATGCTCCTTGCTCAAATTAGCAATGTTGAATTTTATTACTGTGGAGTAAAGAAATTCTACAATGTGTGCGCACAATTTAAACAGTCGGAGACTATGTGTGCAAGTCAGCCATTGAGATACAAATGATATGTGGTCAATACACATAACAATAGATAAAAGCCATTTTAGATAGTATATGACTCTTACAGAAAGAAAAAATCCTTTACCTGAAAGCTAAGCTTTTTTGTGGCATGTGCATAGCCCATGCCAGGCATCAGAAATACACAAAATATTTTAACCTTGGCAAGCCCAAGTGAAGCAGTATTTATGATCTATTTTATCATATGTATGCCAGCAACAGCAAACCTTTCTCCTTTAATGTTACAGGAAAACATTTCCTGGAACACCAGTCGAGATATGAAGAGCTATTCTTTACTTACAACTTAAGAAACGTGAAAGAAAAAGTTAAGGGAAAATAATTTGAAGGGGTTAGAAGAATGTGCAATCACAGTTGAAGAGCAAAGCCTTTAAGCAACACCTTAAAGTTCCAAGTAATCCTACTGATTTAAAAAGGACTACAGGACTTGCTGTACTGGAGAATGAAGGGAAGAGGACTTACGGGACTTAATGACTACAGCTGGATGGCTTGAAATGATAGAAAACATCAGTAAATCTTAAAAGTGTATGTACAGTTAAATCCTATAGTAGAAGTAACTGCAGTAAACAGGGAGCTTCAAGATGAGCATCACTGTAAATCATGAAGGAAAAAAGCATAGGAAGTGTTATCAGTTGATTGCAATTAATAAGTTTCATTCTAATGAGGCTGGGTATCCATTCTGTAGGATTAGACAAGAATGTACGTCCCATTTTAAGAAGTTAATAAATACTATAAGCATACTGGGCCACATTCTACTGATTAGAATGACAACAGGAATGCAAATGACTATTCTTGTAATGAACTTGCACAAATCCTTTAGATAGATCTAGATGACCACACATTCTAAAACGAGCTTTAGATCCCTGAGGGACTTTGATACACATCAGCTGCATCAGGATCCTGTGAAGCACTTCTAGGTTATGTAGGATAAGGGAAAGTGCAAAGCACCCAAAAAACTGACTGCCAAAATTCCAAGATACCTGATGGGGATTTTGGCTCATTAAATACATTGACACAGCAAGGTTAGAAGGCTACCTAGCAGTCCCTGAAAACAATCGAAAGAAATATGATAAAGCCTTTTATGCTGTGAAGTACAAAAAGAAATGTACAAGAAAATCTTTACACAATTTGATCTGTAATAAAGTCAGAAATACTACTCGCCTTATTCCTAACAGAACTCAAGAGGAAATGTTATCCCATAGATAAAACGTTGAACATATGTAACGCATCTAAAGACAATTTGGGTAAGTACTGCCAAAAGATGAAATAATAAGCAGTCTAACCAGAGGAGATTTATACTAGATCCACCCTCCACCCCCCAAAAATTACTGAAATAGCATTAGAGACCAGTGAAGATTCTGAAAATGCTCTGGGCTAAACTTCCCCATGCTTTCATTGATGATCACTACACAACAAGCACTCTTTCATATGTGTAGCCACAAAACATAAATCAGTGACATCTTTCTTTTCCGTGGTATTTAGCCTGTTGAAAGGCAGCCAGCACAATAAAAGAATAACTTCCATTATCAATACTGTGCCTGCCTCTGCACAGTACCAAAGGGATTCAAAGGCACGGCATTTCAGACCTGCCCCCTCTAAGGGTACAACATACCTACCTATAACCAATTAAGAACACTTGCATTGCCAAAGGGAAATCAGGTAACATTCTTTTGTCCTGTTCCTCTGATGACATAATAATATAGTTACCGATAAAGATACGGTTTCATCCATTGTGTTTTGTCCTTAACACTGCTCTGTCTTACAACTCCTTATTTTGATTTCATAGAGACCCAATCTGGCATATCTGGCCCAGCTTCAAAGCACAGTGCTTGTTCATTAAGAAGGGGGGAAAAAGAAAAAGCCAAAAACACTATAAACACTCTAAAAAATATCTGGTGCTCTAGTTTAATCTTTTAACCAATATATTTTTTTGATATAATACTGTTGTCCAAGTATGTTTCCACTTAAGAGTTCATAGTGTTAAAAGATTAAGACTCACATTGTAATTGTTGTAGTTTCTGTTCATTTTCCTCTGAAATGTAAAAAGAGCCAAAGGTTTGTCTTTTTTCCCCACTACTCCTCACCACAGCTTGTATTTGCCCAGATACATTCTAATACCAAAAAAACTTTTTAAAATGAGAGAAATCAAATATCACAAACACTGAATTAAGTTTTAAAAAACAAATTATTTAATCAAAGGAATCTCTTTGTGTTTATGTGAATTTCTTTTGTAAACTCATAAGAAAATAAATTGTGTGAAGATTGACCATTATAAAATTGACTAGGGGATTAGAATGCTTTGAGCTGAAACAAACAAACAACGCCCCCCCAAAAAAACAAAACAAAACAAAATAAAATAAAACAAAACAAAAACAACCTGCAAGAATAAACAGGGATTTGTTTATTCCAATTCAAAGCCCTGGGTAAGTTAGGCATCTTCTTTCTAACCCTACACTCACATTTTGTTCATGTTTTAAGAATTTCCACTGACTAACCAAATCAACGGAGACGCCAAAGCTAACTAAGGAGCAACCAGCCACAACACTAAAATATGTAAATCCACTCACTAATGCACTGAGCATCTTGTTCCTTATCCCACAAAGTATTTTAGTATCTTGTGCTCGGCTTTGAACAGGTAAGAAATTGCATTCAATTTATCTGGAGCCTTCACTGTCCTGAGAACTGAAGGCAACCCACAGAACTATAGAATTGCTATGTCATATTTAATTCTGTTAACTACCACTTGCTCTCCAGTGAGCTTTAATGTCTGATCGTACCCATCACAGTGAAACCGCACATCTACTAGATTAACTACAGCAAGTATCTTTGTTGGAACAATTTGGATTAAGATTTGTTATTTGTTCACATTTTTGATTT